CATTGGCCATAGCTATACCTGCCAGGATCTGAGTGTCAGGCTCCTGCCTCCCTTCCCCTCTCTGGGCTCAGCTGTGTGATAGGCAAAAATGGGGTGAACTATAAAAGTTTTTTATTCTTGAAGAAGTTCCTCTTGACCTTGCACGCTCAATGGGGAGACTAAGATTCCTTTCCTTCAGTACCCTCAAAAGCAGTCCAGACTGAGGCAGAGGAAAAGGGAGTCAGGCTAGGAATAATGGTGGGGAGATTAGAGAGAGTTTCCTGTAGGAAAGAGCTAGAACTGGGTAAATTACTTAGTGAGTGGGGGGGGGAGGTGAAAGAGGTAGGGTTTAATGCCACATACAGCACCCTGAAATTAGAACACAGTTCTATTTTCTGTGCACCACATGGATTCTCTAGATCAACACATATGTATACACAGAAGCTTGTACTTGTACATCAATACACCTACACTGATGGAGTTACCATGTAGTAAGATTTATTTAGAAATCACCAGCTGTGTGGATTGGTAAATTGTTTAATGACATTTCCGGGTAGATTTATCAATGAAAGGAAGAATTTATGACTAGGATGACCAATGAGTAGAAGATTGAAAGATTGAGTAGCTAAGTGAAATGTTAATGTGTGGATGGTTTGAGATGAATGGATAATGGTTTGAAGGTAGATGGAAGATTAAGAGGTAAACAAATGATGAAAGGATTAAGAAATGGATGGATGGGTGATTAATTGATATATACATAATATAATGGAAAGATGTTTGCATATAAAGAATAATGAATATGATTTGATGGATTTATTGAGTAATGGATAGGAGGAAGAAAAAAGCAGAGAGAGAGATGAAAAGATGGAAAGAATGAAACTGCTTTGGATTAAAGTATATAGGGAGTTAGCAGTAGGTACGTGGGTAACACTAGAAAATAATCCTCCTAAGTGGAAGAGTCAGAGACCTATGTGCTAGGTATGTGTATGAAGATAAGAAATAGGGTTGGCTATGAAGGCTTCAACTGGTGCACAAGATTGTCACGCACTAATTCATTGAATGTAAGAACTGAAATAACATAGTAAGTGATCACGTTAGAATCAGATGTCTTCAATTCAAAGCAAAGCAATTCCACCACTTCTGTGGGACATTACCTCATCCTCCTCACCAGTGTTTTTTTATATAAAATTAGTTCAATATTAATGGCTTTATCAAAGGAGTTAATGCAATAATTCCTGTAGAGCACTTATCAAAGAACCTGGAACACACTTAGTACATTGTAATAATTTCTGGTGATTGTAGTTACCTACCATGACCTTGGAAGTTTTTGTCTAATGTAGCCATTTCTCCACGGCCACTGAACTCATCTGCTCGGTCTACCAGAGCCTCCTTCACCAGTTCATGTCCACACAAAATAACTACTGGCCGCGGGCCCAGGTACACAGTGAACATGGGGCCATACTTCTTCCGGAGCTGGGAGTGAAGCAGGACACCAGAGGAGGGTTCAATTAGAGCACACATAGAAACCAGTCAAGGATTTTAGGGGAAGGAGAATTCAGAGGATATAAATATGGGTACAACAGATCAAGGTAATCTTGGAAAGACTATTGGGAAAAGGCATGGAAATCTTCACTCCTGGGATCCTGAGCACAAACCATCCTCAACTCTGAAATGCCAGTTTCCTCATCTGTAAAATGATGGAGCTGGATTACATGAACTCTGAGATCTATACTTCTCTCTCTCTGAAATGCTGAATTCCTAGAAGCCTGAGATTTCATGGTACAGAGTCTCAAAGTACTAGTAAAAATCTAAGTACGAGAGTCCTTAGGTTCAAGGATATAAGATCCCAAAATCCTTAGACTGTGCTTCCAAAGTCATGAGATCATGAGACTTTTATTCCAATGCACCTGGAATTTCAGAATTCTCAGGTTCTCAGTCTCTCAGAGTCTGTTTCAGAAGTCATAAGGTCTACACGTATCTGGCTATAGGATTCATTGCTTCTAGCCCCAGGAGAGGAAATGGACAAACTTACCTTCATGAGACACTGAAAAGGGGCATTAGGGCTGATTTGAAGCAGGTTCTCCAGGAAAGTAATTGGTGTTGGACCTGGGGGGAGCTTTCCCCTCTTGTTGATTCGTTTCCAAGCAATGAGGACAAGAAGGCAAGACAAGCAGAGTGCCAGAAAAATGGTGAAGGCCCCTCCCAGCTCCATGGCGCCAGGTTAGATAGTGTCCTGGGCCCAGGTCCTGCATAAATAGGTTCTGAGAGATCAGCTTGTTCTGAAATCTGATCACCCTGAGATTCAAGTTTTCTGGGAATGGATACCATCAGGAAAGAGACTGCATTATTGAGGGGAGGGGTTACATAACCTATAATCTCCCACCTGGATAAAAGTGAATCAAATTCACCCAAGGAAATCTACAGGGGCCATTCCCCTTTCTTCATATTTCCAGTCCCTCTGTTTTTCCCTCAGCTCAACCCCTGTAGCATTTCCTGTGGGTTGTTGAAGGCTCCTGGGTATCTGCTTAGATTACAGAGTTTAGGGTTCAGAGAGTTTGTGTTCAAGTTCAAACTCCATCTTTTCTTCACT